TTGTGTATTTGATTTTGAATACACACTCACTTGTAGATTGGTGTGGTCCGAGCAAAGGATCCAGAAGTAAAGTGGTAGGAGGTGAGGAGGTGGACATTGTCCCGCACGCTTTATGCTGCTGCACTGATTTTGCACCGCCGCTGGTGTGATCCTATTGTAATACGGTCTGTAGTTTGTGTTTCGTTTTCTCCAATGTAAATGACTAAGGCTTATTTTCCTTTGTTGGTATCTCTTCATTGTAAGAGAAATGTTCATCAACTATCACAGTGTAAGAAAGCTGCATTAATATAAAACCATTTTTAGAGTAAATATGCATCTATGAATATACAGTATATTCAATCCCCTTCACCACACTCTATTCAGTGCTGAAGGCCACAACATTGAACATTTGAAAGTTGTCATACGTGAAGAATTTGAACAAATAACTATTTCCAAGGTCAAGAATGAACCTTCAAGCTGCACATGTCTTTGTGAGTTTAAAAACATTTACAGACTGATAAAAGCTGCCTGTGACTCATGTTTTTGTATCAAATAGTTCATACATGTTTTATTACAGTTAGAATTTGTTAATGTGTTTAATCATATATCATGTTATATGATTACAATCATGTTATTCTGTGTTGTACGATTCTAAAAACACAGCTAATGTCCTTATGTTTACTTAACTGAATGACAGTTTTAATTAATTAATTAATTAAGTAAGTTAATGAAATATTTATATCAGACGTATAATGCTAAATAGGATGTAATAAAGTAAAGCATTTCTGTATTTTCTTCTTTTTTTTTACAATCTATATCAATTCCATATACGGATTTGAGGACCTTAGTGTGTTTGTGATCAAAGCTCAGAGGTTTAATTCATCTTTTATGTGTTTGAATATATAATGAAATCTTGTACGCCCAACATAAGGACATCCACTAGCCCAAAAAACAAGTGAAAAATATTTATCCAAACGACTATTTCACTGTGAAATTCAAAGAAATAGCCACTGTTAAACATGTTTAAATTAAGGCTGAGTTAACAAGCTCTGTGTAAGGGCACAAATAGCCTTCTTCAGGATGTATGATCTACCAGCCTTGTCTGATGTAGTCTAACCATACAACCAGCCTTAATTATCACTGAGAAGTCCGGGCCCTCTCTTGGTAACCTTGTCCTCTGTCAGCGCCTGATTCATGAGTATTGATTGGCTGGGGAACACACATACACCCACCATTCATCTTTACATGACCTTTAATGCCAAAGGTTTGAAGAAGCTAATAAAAAGCTAATTATTCAATCAAACTGCTCCGACAAGCAATTTTCCGTTGAAACAGGTTTTTCTCATTTGAAGTAAAGAGCTCAGCTCGGTTCACACCAGGCCAGTGCGATGGGAGCGCTCATTAGAGTCTGAAGAAGTTTTAGTTTAGTGGTAACGGCAATAATCACCTGACTTTTGTGTCCCCACTTGACTCTGAGAATGTAGGACCCAGTGATTAAACTTGATAAATTCTATACATTTAAACACATTAAGTCTACACTTAGTGACATATTTTCAATATGTTCACAGTTTCCGGGCACTGCTGTTCATGCAACCCTATTAGGTAGATGTAATTAGGCTTTGACTGTGTCAACACAGCTGCTGAAAACCCATGAATACATCCAGCACTATGATTGATATATTGCCATGCAGCGAATATGATCCTGTGTGTAAATCAAGTCATTAATCAAGGTGTTGACATGAAGAGTACATAACTGTACAACCAGGGGAATAGAGGAATAGTATAATGGCACCCAGTTTCAGTGATCTGAGGATGAGTTTGACCTCACAGATATGAAAGTTATCAGGCTACTCTACACCTCAGAGTAGTCAGTCCATTGCCGAGTCATGATGACATTGAGAATGTCCTTTAATAAGCGTGTCACTCCTGCGGCTGCTTTAACCCTCAACTGTGATCGCTGCGTTTATGGAAACAAGGTACTTGTAGACATTTTGTGTTCTAGCCAAAACCTTTACTCCAGTCTCACAATCGGAAATTATTAAAGTCTGTAATAAATACACAAAAACCTCCTCTCTATGGGGGAATTAATCCCTGTATTGCTCTGGTTTATTAAATTATGTTGTTCCTCGCTTTCCTTGCTGGTAAGCTCACATTGCTATCACTTCCGTTGATATCTGGGGAATGGAGAACAAAGGAAGGCGACTATCTCCAATATGAATACATTTACTGAAATCCATAATTGATTGGAGCTCCCAGGCTTGTTTGATGGTCAGCAGGATCTGATGTAATGAGACGCCTCAAGGTTTCTGCAGAGGTTTCTTTTGCTGCTTTTGCTGAGCTGATATCTAAGACAGAAAAAAGCCCCCCTCTCTTTAAGTCGGTAGAAAGATTATTCTGACATTGTCTTTTACATTTGTTATTTGTAATCTTGTGTGCTTACACAAAAAGTATGAGATATGAATTATATTTTATTCCAATCTTTAAATAAATCGATGCAGCTCTGATCCGCTTTTCCTGAAACTTGCTGTAGGCAGAGTCTTCCAAGCAAATCCTGATATAGAAGAAAGCTTATTTCAGATATCTCACTTCTAATACAATAATATCCCTCTGCTAGTTTCTCAGCAAACTAATTGTTATACAATATACTACATGGGCAGATTATGCTTTCACTGCAGGTACATTTATGACCAAAATGTATTTTTAGTCAAATACATTTATATTGGTGTTGTTTTTAAAATACACATTTTAAATTTGTATTGTATGTTAGCACAATACAAACTATAGGAAACAATACTTGACGTTATATTATCAAATTACTCCTTACAGACCACAATGTCAATGATTTCCTTTCAGTTTTTTTAAATGTTTTAGAATTGAGGATAATCAAACACAACAATCACAAAATAAATCCTTGCACTAGGTGGAGTAATAAGGATCAAAGTCTATTTTATTTAGCTGGTAAACTCATGTATCAACGTCTTACAGTATATTATTTGGGATTTTGTAGCATTAGTGTGTGTTATTTGTTTAATTTCATATATGTCCCATATTTATATCCATACATGAATGATATGTGGGGGTGTTCAACCCTGTTCAGAATAATACCTTTCACCTCACTTGCATTACCAGAATATAGTTGCGTACCTATAAGCCCCACTTTATCCAGCAATTGCTAGTTGCAAAGGGGTTTATGTAAATGTTAAGGATATTTTCTTATGAAAGAGATTTAAAAAATGAAATGTTTCATCGTTCATGTAACCAGACTGGCCTTTCTTTTATTTTTGGCCACACACATAATGTCATCTTTGTGTGAAGTGAGGGACAGAATATAAAAATAATGAGGTAAAAAGGGAAATCTCTGACATCCTTGTTGAATTACCGGAGTATTTTAAGTAACAAAGCTGGCAGCGCAGGAGCATCACTGTCTCCGGAACAACTGCCTTTGTTTAGCCCTGATAGGAAGGCATCACCCTCATGGATAATGACTTGATGGAATATGTCCTTTGGCCAAAGTTGCCTGGCACTGAGGATTTTTTTTTTCTGCTTTTCACTTCATATGAGGGCTTGGGGAAAACTAACATGAGAAATAGAGAGGTAAAAATATTGTGGCCGCAAGAGCAAAATGGAGCGGGGAAGTGGAGTGTTTGATACAGTGAAGGGCAGACATGTTGGAGATTAAGCGAGACCGGCTTTTCCTGGGCCGACTCCTGGTTCATCCCACTGGGCCAGGTGATGATTTGATGCTTGGAAATGGAAGATGGAACCGAGAAATCAGTCGTTAATCCATTGGGTCTGACCAGCAGGTGAAGGACTTTCTGTGCGATACAAATGTAACAACTTCATGCACCTCCCAGTGGTTGCTCACTGACACATTGCCTGTCGAGGGGGCCGAGTAACCGCAGTTAATATGCATGGCATGATAGACTGTGAAATTATAGACTGTGTTAAATTGACTGACAACTTCACTATTACTTTATTTTTCTCTCTCATTTCCTAAACTCTGACATGACAGCTCTGGCTAGAAAACGGGATGATTTGAAAAGGATTGGAGTGACGTATCAAAAAGAAAAAGCTTGCGTCATTAATACTTCATTGGCTGGATGAATAGCTTAAGGTGACAAGAATAAAGTCCCTCTCTGAATACAAATGGGTGTGGAGTAGAGGCATAAGAAGAACCTGAGTGGAGAATTCTGTTTTTCTTAATGCTCGAAGGCTCTCTGCAGACAAATGTGAGCGATATGGTAATCTCCCTTGGGTTGCGTGCTGAGGTTCTGCTGGCAGAGCTGTGACATGTCATGTAGCTTGTTTTGAATTTTAGGGACAAGTGAGAAACTGAAGGCCTGTGACCTTGGCAGTCAGTGCCCTCCTGCTGGAGAAAAAAGCAGAAATGAAAGAAATGTTTTGCAGCCGCCTAGAAATAGCTTCCTAAGTGAGTTACAAATCCTTGTCCTCATCCATCTTTATCAGATATGTGCATGGCAAAATCCTCATGTTAAAGTATGCAGTAATTATTTGGACCCATTTATAACCTTTTCCCAGTCACAGCAGAAAATGTGCCGCTCTTTGTTTTGCAAAGATAACTTCCAAGGCTGTGTCAAAATATGATGAATTTTTCATTATGCTCCCCTTTACACTTTGTTCTCCTTTAGCTACATTGATGCAGTGAAATATTAATGTCAGAACACACATTCATAGTTGTGGTATCTCCAAACTCTGTTTTCTACAGCCTCTTCTGCTGCTTATGCCTCTTTCTTGTTGTTTCATAATCAGATCAGCTTTCATATCGCACCCAAAGCTGCCAAGTGGAAAAAGGAGCAAGCTTAGTCAATGAGATTATGTATGTACTGTATGACTGCTTCTGTTGTAAGTTGAGGAATGTCTTCTTCATCACAAGAATACAGTCTAGAGGTAGATAAACATCCCTAAATGTGTTAGAGCAACCCCACGTCTGACGGGGGGGTTGCAGTGTTGTAAGCCAAGCTGTCTTTATTCTTTTAAAAAACATGTTTCTTGCCCTTTAGGTGTTGTTTTACTGTGACGCCAGTGGGAGTCGCCTTCCTCATCTCTGACTCTCTGACTGCCAGCTGATCGGGATGCTGATGTGAAACCTGCGATGGAGACCGGGGCTTGATATCTGGTGAGTTTGTCGTGTTTTCCAAGTCACTGCATATTGACTGAGAGCATTTGCGGCTCCGCCGATGTAACATGCTCATATACAGCCTTTTGTAAAGACATGATTATTCCGTGTAAGCAAGTCAAAATATACCCTAATAACAAACCATGGGTGACCAAGGCGGTTAAGTCCAGCATTCAGAAAAAGAAACAAGCTTTTAAACAGGGAAGTGCCTCTGATCTGCATAATGCTAATAGGGAACTTCAAATAGAAATTCTGAAAGCTAAACAGAATTTTAAATCTGAACTTCAAAACAAAATGGCTGCAAACAACCTTGGCTCAGTCTGGAGTAGCATGAAAACCATAACAGGCCTCCGGGAAACAAAGAATAGCTGCCATGTGACTCTGGATGGCTTTAATTCAGATGTTGAGTTTGCAAATGCCCTAAATCATTTTTTTTCTCGATTTGACACATTTAATTTCAGTAATAATATATCTGAACTGAAGCTTAAACTTGAAGACAATAAGCATTTTAATATAGACCAGAGGGAAGTGGAAAAGGCCTTCCATTTAGTACAAATAAATAAGAGTCATGGACCTGACAACATCTGCGGTCGTTTACTTAAACTTTGCGCAAAATAACTTAGCCCTGTGTTCCACTACATTTGTAATATGTCTTTACAGACACAGCATGTGCCAAAGGTTTGGAAGGATGCTGTGGTAGTCCCTGTTCCCAAATCCAGAGGCCCCAAAACTCTTAATGATTTTAGACCAGTTGCACTTACATCAATTCTAATGAAGACATTGGAAAAACTAGTCAGAGCAGAAATCTTAAGGAAGACTGAGCATGCACTCGATCCCATGCAGTTTGCTTACAGGCCACACAGAGGAGTAGAGGATGCCACGGTCACCTTATTTAACTTACTTTTTAAACACTTGGAGGGAAATGGATCTCATGCTAGACTTTTATTTGTTGATTTTTCCTCTGCTTTTAACACAATTCAACCTCATATTTTAATTGGCAGACTTTTAGAACAATTTGAAATAAGCAATAATCTTATGAGCTGGATTCTTGATTTTTTAACCAATAGGACACAAAGAGTGAGGGTGAACGGGACCTTATCTGATCAAGTCAGCTCCTCCACTGGCTCCCCACAAGGATGTGTCCTTTCGCCACTATTATTTATACTTTACACTAATATGTGTCAAAGTAGGTGGGAAAATAGGACTATTTTAAAGTATGCAGATGACTCTGTAATTGTTAGTAGGCTCCAGGACAATGAGACCAGCCACGGCCCTGTCATTGACGACCTTGTCAGGTGGAGTGAGGAGTCCTATCTACAACTGAACATAAGCAAAACCAAGGACATGATCATTGATTTTAGAAGACATCCCCACATACATGAAGTCTTAACAATCCAGAATCAGAAAGTAGAATTTGTGCAATCATACAAATATCTCGGGACAATTATTGACTCAAAATTGAGCTCTGATCCAAACTGTGAAGCTGTGTGCCAAAGGGGGCACCAGCATTTGTACTGTCTTAGGAAACTGCTTTAACATTGACAAAACCACGATGATCATGTTTTATCGTGCTTTTATCGAGTCAATTCTGTCTTTTTCACTAATGTCATGGTTTGGTAACCTGACTTTAAAGAGCAGAAACTCTCTGAGTCAGATCGTAAAGTGGTCCAGCAGACTGATTGGTGAGCCACAGCTAAACCTGGAGACCCTGTACCTCAGGCAGTTACAGCGGTTATCCAGCTCCATATTAGATGATGACTCCCACCCTCTGCACTCAGAATTCAAGCTTTTTCCTTCGGGCCGGAGGTTAGTCGTCCCAAAGAGTAGAACGAAGCGGTATAAAAACAGTTTTATCCCAATAGCTATTGCACAAATTAACACATCATAGGAGTGTCACACAGATGCCTATTTGTATTTATTTATTTAATTGTGAATTTTGAATGTCCATGTTTGTACTAGTGTTTTCCTTCTTAAAATGTTTTTGAAATATTTTGAGATTTGGTTGAGCAGGGTGTACTTGTACTTTTTACTAGTCCTTTTATTAGAGATGTGTCTGTTGTTTGTGTTTGTTTTTAGAGTGTGTCAGGATGGATCCCTTGTCTTTTTCTCTGCAAACAAAATCTACCTACAGGTACAAATAAAGAACCTGACCTGACCTGACCTGACCGCCTATAGCTGGGGTGGCTCTAACTATGCTGAAAATGTTGTTGTGTTAGCAGTGGTACATCAGCATATTGAAGATGCAGTACTATGTGGAACACCCGTGGGAATTTGTTACAGAAAGTACAGAAAAGACGGTGAAACTGCAGGTGCAGAGCAGAACTGGGTCAAATTTGCAAAACCACATTTTTTCTTCTTTGTGTTACACATTTTAAAAAGCCATGTGGGGGGAGTTAAATCTGAGTCATCTATATTTAATAGATATGATAACACTACATTTAGACATCCAATGCATCTAAACTAAAACTACAGCAGCATACATACTGATTGAAAGACGTTATTATGTATTAGTAGGTATTAACACTTAATGTATTAGGTAAGAGCTTTAGATATGAGATTCCCATTTATTCAAGCTATTCTAAAATACCTACTTATCTGTTTTAAAAATTACAATCTCTCAGCCATTAGCCTTTTTGAGGCTATCACCATGCTGCTCTGATGGTCCCAAAGAGTCGAATAGTGATTTAATCACACACACTACAGACATTGATTGGAAAGACAAGTACATTTTTAGTTATTTATTAACAGTATTATCAATAGCTGGCAGCTAAATTGTCTATATATATTATGAATTATTGGGAGAAATGCCATCCTAAGTCAAATGAAACATTTAGCATCCTTATAAAGCCCCAATGATTTAATAGTTAGTTTCATAACCACATGTGTTCTGTCACTATTTGAGTGACATTAGCAGTTGAATCTGGCTCTTAGATCAAGTTGTCTATTTGTTACTTATTTGGGGTCAGACCTTATATATATATTGTTTAAAAATCTTAAATGGACAACATACAATGTCTGCAGGGTCACAGTGTTGTAAGAATGTGTGGGAGCGGGCTGGATAGATATTATGTGTGGTCAGGAACTTTATATGCATGCAGTAGGTGGTTAATGGACAGAATACATTCCACAGCCTGCTGAAATTTACATTTGACAATAATGGACACTATATGCATGTTATAGCTTAATATGTATATAAGACTGTCATATCTAAGATGTGTAAGTACTTTAGATGTTTATGTATTACAGGGTAGTTGTACTGGGATTGTTTCCTGACGCACGTCTGATTTAACTGTCCGTGAAACAGATGGTGTGTGAAAAAAAACTGTGATAGTTGTTTTTGAATGAAGTCAGGGTCTGTTTAACGAAATAATATATATTACACTGTATATGTTAAACAATGTATGTTAAAAACAGGTTATCGTGCTTCCCAAACATGAACAAAGACCTACTATGTAAATCTCTGCATGGTTAATGCTCTAATCACTTACATCTGTTCCTTCAAACATTATTAAAATAGAGGCTTGATTTTTTTAAAGAAAATAATAAATGTATACTGTATGAATTCATTTATTGTTCTTATCCTCTAAACTTGCAGAACTATAAGCATTAGCTTAGCGTTGAGTAGCTGAGTAGCGCCTGCGGTCATTTTCCAAGACCGCATACAGCCCGACAGCCTTCACAATAAGATAGGAGAGCATATCTCTAGCCTGCAAGGTAATACACTGGGCAAAATAAGGCCTGAAGGCACATTCTCCACCGCCCACTGTTGTTTCTTGCTTATTGCACCATCTTGGGGCTCTTCTTTTTTCTTTAATCTGGATTTTGACGGCAGGACAGGAGTATATTGCTCAGAGAAGTTCTCGTAAGAAACCTAGAGGGTGCTGCAAAAAACACTTTTCTGTGAATAATTACTCTCCATCCTTGCACCTTGTGGCTTAACTAACTCCGCCAGGTTCCTGAAACTATCTGACCCATGGGTGTAACTTAAGGGTCCTACCTGGAGTCGTAGTGTAATTGACTAGATCTCTATCTTACTTGAAATGGGCCATAAAGGGCTGTGGGAGTACATAAATGCAGTAACATGTTTCGATCCCACATTATATAGCATAAAACTATTAATTAAAACCTGGCACACAAGAGAATAGAGTTAATGATCTGTGCTGCGTCTTCAGAGAGCGTTCAGCCGAGAATAATTGTGTGCATCTGAAGTGCAGTAGGTACCTGTTTCCCCCTTAACATCTGTCTGCTGTGCTCAAAGTAGGCTTGCATCCTGAAAATGTCATTGCACTACATTCAGGCACAATAGTGGATGCTGCATGCTGCCAATAGCTGTGATTTGCCGAGGGTCTAGTTTAAGGAAAAGGTCTGGGTAATTCCTCCGGGGCGGTTCAGTAAGGAGGGGGATGGGAGGTGAGCTTATTTTACCTACCTCTGACCTGTGGTCAGTACCCCTGTGGTTCCTGCGGTCAGGGGGGAATCACACAGTGCTGAGAACAAAGAAATATGATGGCTTCCACTTGTCCTCCTCTGGTTCAAAGGGAATGGCAGGGCAATGCTAATTAGCCAGCTTATGTTACTGAATTGAACATAACTGCTGTTCCCTTCAGTGTCCCCCCTCCCCCTTGTCGTTGTACGCCTAACAAGCATTGTCTACAACAGTCATGCCCCTTGCATAACTCTGCATATTTTTTTGCACTGTAAGGCTTCCTGTTTTGTTACTGTCCTAAAAAAGAAAATACTTTCCAATGGTTAAATTAATTATTTTCATAAGAATCTAATTTACCCTTACCTGTTAAACAATAGCCATTTGTTTTGTGAAATGACAGCAGTTCTGGCCCATATGTATTCTTTTGACGTCTTCGTCCAGCTGTTTGGAGTGCGGTTTAATCCTGGCTGTCAAGTTTAAGGGCGATAAGAGGCGTAACTACAGGATTCCCTACTAGTTCATCTCTGCTTGTTCAAATTGATGGTGCTACAGCTCAGAATACGATGCTCTGTAA